CCATTCTTAGCACCATACAACAACTCGTCAAATAAACAAGTGAAGCCGATCCTTTGACCAAACGTGTGCTAAACAGTTGTTTAGCCAACTACGATGCTGGCAAAACGTCTGAGAATGTACCACATCCACTGACCTAATCTGGAAATGATGATGCATACAATGAACTCCGGACTAAGTGCGTTCCTGTAAGTCTTCCTACCAATATGACCAAGTTGCGAAAACAAGGTCAAACAACTTTTAAGACTATGTGAAATTCAAAAGAAGCATGAGGCTAACTCTTACGCTTGTGGTAAAATTCAACTGTCATTCCATCAACACTTTAAAAGAAATAGGGCGAAAACAGTTATTATTCAAGATCTACTGGTAGTCTCGAAAGCCTACTTAAACAGGAAAAGTAGAGCTCTTTTTAATTGTGCACTTGAAGAGTGCAGAGTTTAGCCCTTATGTGATGCAAGTGTGTATATCCTCTACAGTTGTTAGGCCAAATTTCGATAGGACTGAAAGCCTAAGATCAAGGCGATAGTTTGTATCTTCTTGGTTTCAGTTGTACTCGCAAAATCATTTGAGTATGAGACACTCACGAGTTTCGAAATACTAAGGCGTGATGTGACTACATTTTTTTACATAGTTGGGTCACATAATCGTCAATATAAACCTTCTTCGCTTACCATTCAGTTTGTGCCAAAGAATAACTTGGTGGGTGTGAATCCATCATCATTTCTCGAAAACTTGGAGTTTACCGAATAAAGAACTGACATTTTTTCATATAGTTCATGTGAGTACATTTCATATATATTTGTATCTTATTAAATATTAACTTTGGCAGCCTGTGTTGCTAAGGTGATTTAAGGGATTTCCCCAAAATGATAAAAGTAGACGATATGATAATAATAAATTTCCCATGGCCTTGCCGCCCATTCGGGCTGGGCTGTAGTTTCTAAGCGTATCAGCGTTTCATCAAAAAACCCAACAGTATTCTAAAGTTAATCGTGAGCCCCGTGACGACTCTTGACCCCTCCACTAAACTCAGGGCAGATGAGAAATTCAAGGCAAGTCGGGCCTCACCAAATTTAAATTCGATGAAATGATTGTCGATGAGTACTTTTAGTATAAGTAGATTAAATAAGGAAATAATTATAAACATTTTTTTCATTAAATACCTCTTGGCATGTTGGCATGGAAGTAATCTGGATAACTTATGACTCTATTATTACTTGTTTTTTGTATTTAAGTAGAGTTTCGAGACTACTAGTAAATCAGTAATATGAAATGTATTCACCCTATTTCGTTTAAGGTGATGAAGGACTTTGGGTCAAAGAGCAGCAAATGTATCTTTGCTGAATAAATCTCATATTACTGATTTACTATTAGTCTCGAAACTCTACTTTAATACTAGTCTATTGTTACAGCAAATAAAAGTTTGCTTAATGTAAATAGCTCACATTCTGCACAGTCACGGTTCGACTCCCGCTGGGGGTGTTGATAAGACCGATTCGAGTTCGAAACTGCAGTTGACTGGTGCCTGGATTAGAAAAACTTTTGTGAAAGCAAAGCTATGTGAAATTCAATACGAACGTCAGCTCTACCTATAGCATTGTGAAAAAATTCTACTATTACTGCCTAAATCTTCTGAAGCTGATTTTACGCATTAACCATCTGTACATCTGCCGACTTTGGCTCGTGGATGCAGGCTAAAACAATGGGGTTCTAACCTTATCTGCTGTGCTGTAAGTCGATGCTGGCAACGGTTGATCTTCAGCTTCAACGCCCTGTTCATAGGCTCCAGTGGCTGCGGTCAAAATGGTGTAATGTGACGAAGGAAGCAAGAAGTCGGCTGGAAGAGAGCATCGCGTTGGGAGGATTCGCATCGTTTTGTACATTTTGCATGTACCGGTCGAAGTCAACGCATACCGAGTGATGGTCACGCCTAAAACGTGCTCGTGGAGGCATCTGGGTTAAGTAAAGAGAGATAAAATCCTAATTAGCACACATCGCATTGAGCCTTTTCAACATCCTTCCTAGTTTTCCCATTACCAAAGTAGACTTTCGAAATGATAGAATCGTGTGCAGAAATAGGCAATCTCCGCAGGTGAATGAGGCTCTGGAACACAAAATTATCATTTTTGAGGGCAAGGTATCATCGTCACAACAACGGACAAAAGCTTAGCACTTTTTACCGGCATCGAGGAAGATTACCTCGGAAACAGCGTCAGCATGAATCTTCCAGTAAAGCCAATTGACAGCTGGTCAAGAGAAATCGGCCGTCGTCTTCTGGTAGAACCGATCTTTGAATCTCTTCACGCAACACTTTCACTCGAAATGGAAGTAAGCTCAACAATTATGAAACACGAAATTCCTCAAAACCCAACTTTTCTTCACATACCAAATTATCAGTCACACTCAGATGGCTGTTTCGCTCCTTTGAGGATATAAAGAAAAACTGGGTTTCGAAGAATATCTTAGTGATATATTGTGACATAAATTACCATTTCGAAGGAAAAGTTGGTTGGAAGTAATTTGGGAGTTGGTATTACCTGAAACCGAAGGATGATTGCTTTGAAGACAATATTGTTGTATTGTGCGAAAAGGTCCTCGCCTCACCGTTTTGCGACCTCGATGAACCTATGCTAAGCTTTTGTTTTTACCCCAGCGACAGATATCTTCAGGGAAGAATCCATACTTATATACTAAACAAATAAAAAAGTTCATTTTTTTATACACTTTACCTTGCTATCTTTGGTTGGTTAACTCGAACTGATACTAGAAGTGGGTTGACCTCGTTGTCACAACTTGGTCTTGTTGTCAGGGCGACTATGTAGAACGCACTTAGTCCGAAGTCGTCTGCCATATTAGTCGTCCTGATTCCCAGCATCTGACAGCGGACTTGATACAGACTGCGACCATACCAGAGGGCAAAAAATCTTGGTCGTTATATATCCTAACTTATACTATTTGCACGCAGATGAGTAAAGTCAATTGATGAGCCGGAAGTTGACAAATGTTTAGGTATGTGTTACTGCCTATTGTCTTTATGCAATCTTCATGTATATAAAGACATGAGGTTACTACAGCTTCCTGCTCTTGCTCAGTGGCTCTTCCTGCCTATCCTCTCTTTATCTCTCTTGTTAAGTCTATCTAAAAGTTATAAATAGCTCCTACACTCGCTCCTCCTATTTCGCATGTTGGTTGCTTAGTTAATGTCTTTATGCTCCGTAATCTTGTCATTTGAAATCAAGTCCCCGTAACCAGCAAAAGGTTATGCTTCAGATCAGTCTATCGAGTGTCCTGTTTCAACCCAGTGTTAAGCGAGCTTAATTTTTTAGACTCATAAGCGGTTTTATATTCACATAATCTCTTCTGGTAGGGTCAACAGATAGCATCCACATAGACACTACCGCATAAGCACAACTTTTTGTTGCTGCTTGATCCAAAAAGAGGGCCCGAAAATTCTCGGCAAAAAGGTAGGTCTGAAGAAAGCGCTGATTTCGTTTTATGTATCGTTCTGATGTTCCATTTTCACAGTAAGTCACCCAACTTTTTCGCGAGTTGATATAATTGCAAAATAAAGAACCGAGAAGAATGGTCTATCAGTCTATCCTGCCGCAAATAGCAATCTCCCTTCATCCTATAAGTGAGAAATTGAACTGTAATTATCTATTAATCCTAATAGTTTATTGTTTTAAAACAATTACTACACTCTTTTTTGACTCCATTACCTAATTGTTGAGCTTACTACCATTTCGAGTAAAAGTGTTGGGTGAAGAGATTCGAAGGTCATTTCCACCAAAAGACGACAGCGGATTCCTCTTGACCAGCTGTCGATTGGCTTTACTGGACCATTCATGCTGACGCTGTTTA